TTGTCTCAATTGTATTATGCTTATAAGATCTACTTAAAATGTCTCCTCTCCACTGTTCTAGGCATTTTATCACATTACCCTGCTATTTCCATCACAGCATCTACCACAATCATAAAGTATCATTGTTTAATGTAGCATCCCCCACCACTCCTGTCATCATCACCACTGCATCTCCTATTCTCAGTACTTAGAACAGAGTTTGCAAATAATAACCTCTCAATACAAACCTGAAGAATGAATAAATTAATCATAAAGAAGGGGTGTCATCTAAAACTCTAGCATCAATGACACTGGGCTTTGAAAGACATCTTTGGTTTGTGTATTGAATAGGACAGCTTACATAGTTACCTGAGACTCCACAATGCTTCAAATAAAATAACAAACTAATACCATCATAAGGCACTCCAGCAAACATAAGAAACTCCATTTTCAAATAGGATTTTGCTCAGATTTAGCTGTTAACCTCTGTCATTTCATTCCATCTTAAAATCTACATGGTTCTCTTAGGGTTTTTTTTAACAAGCTGATGATTTTATCACTCACTTCATTAATATTTATTGCTTCCCAACTTTGTAAAGGGCATTATGGGAAATTAACCAAACCTTGTCTGGACAACCTAGAAATCAACAGAAGAGTGAAATGATCACAGCTGTACTTTGGGAGGATTAGCTTCATCTCAGTATTTCATTGGACTGGAGGCAGGAAGGTCAGTTAGAAGGCTGTTAACAGCAATTAGTTCAAGACAGAAATAAATGGTCTAATTTAGGATAGCAACAATTAAATTATTTATTTATGCATAATACAATATGCGATATGTTCAGACAGAATATCTCAGTGTTTAAGAATTATACTTTTGTATTCTAGAGTTCCCCACCACCACTAACTGGTAAGCTATGACATTTGGATTTTAGCTTTGATTTCTAAAATCAAACAACTCAAAAACAGTAACTTGAGAAACTACATTTCTCAACTGGGATCAGTAGACTGTAAGCCATGAGTTCTGAGAAGGATATGGAAAGTCTGTGTTATCATTTAAAAAATACATTTTTAAAAGTATATTCTGGATTATATGGCTACCACACCACAATCAATGACACTAAATAGGGTGGGCTAAAGAGAGAGGTACAGAGGTCTCATAGGGTAACTGATATAGTTATGCCAAATGAAAGTCAATTGACCTAATCTGTGACTTAAGAAGGAAAGCTTTACAGTATTCAAGCACAGAAAAGTGATGTAGGAACTGAGTTATCACAGGATTTACAGTATATAGAAAATTGCATGTCTTGTTGAGACAAATGATACTAAATTCACTACACAAAGATTTCATTTCCGTAAAACATCATCCATCACCCTAAATTTAAGTTACTTTGAAATACAGTTTTTGTCTTTATTTGTAGTTTTATCTACATTTCACTTACACTTTGGTCTATATTACATTTACAAATTGATTTTTGGTTTATATTTGCATAAAAGCAATAAGCATAAGGAACATATTTATATACAACTAAAATTAAATAATGTAATAAAACAAAATTAGTTAAGCTAATTTGGTAGTTACAATATTTTTTCCCTTTAAAGGGGGACAATAAATTATTCATGTTAAGATGAGCATGCTTATCATGTAATCCCAAGCAATAATCTAAGCCTCAGTGTATGGAAGGGTTAATGTGAAGATGGTTATGTGGTACACTAGTGACTCAAACGACAATCTGTTATACATCATCACTCAGATCACACCTTCACTTTGTCCTCTTCTGACTGCATTCAAGATTTTCCAAAATCTCCAAAGCTTGAAGTTTATTACATTATTTTTATCTCCATCTCTTCTAAGCTACAATACACCTTACATAAAAGTCATAGAATTTATTTCCCTTGGGCCTCCCTGGTGGCACAAGTGGTTAAGTACTGCACTATGAAGCAATCCACAGCCTCTGTAGCATGAGTTCAATCCCCAGCCGGCCAGGGAGAAACCCACATGGCGCAGCAGACCTCTCCTGTCTCACCCACTGCTCCCCTCAGCAGTGTATTTCGTCAGCCTGTCTGTTCTGTTCCCCACTTTGTCGCTGGTGGATGCTCTCATCTCTGGCCTGTACCCCAGCTCTTGTATGCATAAATAAATAAATCTTAAAAAAAAATTATTTCCCTTCAGTGCATCTCTGAGGCTGTCACTCTTCCACACAAAAGTTTTCTGCAACTCTCAAGGCCCTACCAAACCTACCCATTTCAAAATTACCTACAGGGATTCTTAAACTTAAATTTCCTAAGGAAATGCTATTAGGTATCCCCTATCACTAGCACAGTATGTAGGCACCAATTGTAATGTTTTAAAATAGTAAAATCTATGATGTTACACCCTCCCAAAAAGGATGCATAACTCTTCCTTCATATCTAACTCTAATTTTAATTCTAATTATTAATAGACAATTTCTAATCACAACAAGTGAAAACTAGCCTTTAAAAACAAAATCACAGGCCTCTCTGGTGACGCAAGGGGTTAAGCACTGCTCTAAGAAGCAATCCACTGCCTTTGCAGCAGGAGTTCGATCCCAGGACAGCCTGGGAGAAACCCCTGCACAGCAGACCTCTCCTGTCTCACCCCCTGCTCTCCTCAGCAGTGTATTTCAGTCAGTCAGTCTGCCTGTTCTGCTTCCCATTCTGTCTCTGGTGAATCCTCTCACCCCCTGCATCTCTGGCCTGTACCCTAGCTCTTGTATGCATAAATAAATCAATCTTGAAAAAAAAAAAAAAAGAGTAGCAGATCTTGGAAAAAAAAAATCACAAGACAACAATCCTCTGTGATTAAAAAAGAAAGAAAATCAATGAAAAATTCATCTTAAACTCTTTATATTAATTATTTTAAAAATTCTTTCTTACTACTAATTTAGCAGCTGGTTATAATTGGCCAAATAACTGCAACATAAAAAGCTATTAAAAAATCAAATTTCTACTAGACAATACAAAATCAGCCAATTTTTTAAGAAAAGCTTTTTAACTAAACTGAATATTATAATTTTTCAAAAAAAATCTTTGGTCCCTTTTTCTTCTACCGAGTGAAAGCCAAATGCCCAAGCTATACATATACATAAAAGTATTTTGCCTATGAAAAAAATACATAATGTATGATGTAATATGACACAGTATGACATCATCTCTTTGTAAGAAACTAGGAGAAGAAAAATTACTGCTAATCATGAACATTATTACCAGTGGGCATTTCTTAAATATGCACATCTCTGTTCACTCTCATACTCTGTGTCACCAACCCAAACTTCCTCTACTAATGCAAGGGGGAAAAGTCCCAAATTAATGTATAAAAATTTCGTTCCATATAACTTTTCAGTAACAGTACAGCTATGTGCAGAGAGACAGAACTCAGGAACCTGCAGCACAATCTAAAACATACACAGATCTTTAGGTAAAGTCACAAAATTAAATATGGCTGTCATAAGGTCAATCAATCCAGTTCTTCAGTTCTTCAAACAAAGAGCTAACAAGACTAGTATTTAGAATAAGACAGTCCCTCAATTCATCTTTACCAACTTAATGTACTCACATCAAACATATGATGAAACCATCATAACTTCCTTCTTAACAATGAGGGTAAAACTTGTAACCAAAATAGTGCCCCCATATTGTATTTCACTAGGATTATAAAATCTACTGCAAAACCTTTCATAACTTTATAGTCTGGATGCATGTAATCCGTGGGGGGGGTGGCGGGGGCGGGTGTTTAGGAAGCGGAGGTGGCAGAGGAGGAAGATATATCGATATCCATAGATACAGATATCTGTAACATGCCTGACAGTTTCTTAATTGTTATTTGCCCAATGGCAAGGGTCACTTGTCCGCATGACAGTCACAAAAGAAAAAGACAACATTTTTAATTGTTACAAAACTGGTTCATATGCTCAAAAAATGTGAGCATCCACACCCCAACAAGTTACAGACTAGGATCAGAGACCCGGAGCTTAAATGCTAAAAAAAAACGTCAATGCCCTGCCTCCCTAAAGAAACACCCAACCCCATAAACTGCGGAACATCACCAACTCAACACCCACCGGGGTGGATGTCTAAACACTGTATCAGGAAATCATGGTAAGTGCTGGCGGTTCCTCTAGGCCTCAGCAGCAGCCTTGGGTGTAAGAGCAAACTCGATTCCTCTTCACTCTCAAAGAATAATGTTGCTGTCATTACGAAGCTACTGATTCTTCGCACTCGGGACTAGTCATTCCTTGAGCCACCACGCAATTCGCCCCCCTCCCCACCCCCACTGCCGAAAAGACATCTCAAGACAGAGAAGCCCTCGGGTACCCCCTTCTGCTCTACCTCCGGCGGCTGCCGCTTTCTCCTCCCTCCGGCTCCGAGGTGGGGGCTCCAGCCGGTCCCGGGCAATCCCAAGCCCGGGAGGTGCCTGTTTTGCCCGCGCACGGTCTGCCCAGTCGCCTCCTTTCCCAGTTCGCCCAAACTGGCGCGCTACAGGGGCCCCGCGGGCCGAGGAGGGAGCCGGGGCGCTGCCGCCGCCTCTGGTATGTCAGGGGCCGGGATTGTATTTCGAAAGATCCGCCATTTTCACCTCGTCATCACCATCACAGCTCAGCAGCTTCCCCGACAGCCCGAGCCCCGGCCGCCGCCGCCGCCGCCAGTCACCTCCCCCTTCCCCCCCACGGCCCTCCTCCCGCCCGCCCCGGCGCGCACACCCACAGCCCCGGCGCCCGCCCGCCCCGCCAACCTTCAAACGCACGGGAGAGACAAACGCGCACCCAGCCCGCGCCGAGACCTTTCACCCCACAACAAAAAATGGTGCTTCTGCGGGTCCGGCCGCAAAGCGAAAGGAAGTCTCGCTACCTGCGGGGTCCCCGGCGCGGCGTATTTTTGTTTTGAAAAGCAAAAGCCATGAGGAAGGTGGCATAAGGACAATAAAGGAGCCAAACGCTTTCATTTTCGGGAAAGCAGCTGAAGAGAGATTTGTTCGCTGTGCCCACTACAGACATGGTCAAGACCTTTAATGTCATCCGCCAACTCTGACGTTGTCCTCCGCCGCCAGCACTGCTCTGACTGGACGAGCCATTCCCCAAGGCACCTCTGACCTCTCGGACACGTTTGTAAATTACAGGCGCTGATCCTCCTGCAGAGGCTGTGGTCAAACATATGGTCTTTAACATAAAGTTCGGAACTATTTTTCTCGCCACTTAATTTCATCTGATCATTTCTGTCCATCAACACTGACACTTCCAATTTATCAATGGTTTAAAATGTCAAAGAGCCATTAGATTTAAAAGGGACTGATACTATTCGTGAAAGACCAATTTCCAAAATACAGAAAATATTCCTCTAAGTCCAAATTCTTCGCCAAACGTTTTTAGGATCTAAGTCAACACATTAAAAAAAAAAAATTCACTACTGATAGATTTGCCCAATACAGAGAAAATAAACAGCTTGCTTTTAGAAAAAGACCCTAAAGTTATCCATCCACCCATCAGTACTTCTCAACATGCAGCTTAATAACTAAAAGAGAACCTAAGTAATATTAATCATCTAAGAAATAACAACAACAACAACAACAAAAAACCCGTAAGCCTCAAGGCTTCTGAGACCAGAATTTTTAAAATGAAGTCGGCTACTTTATCTCATCTCCGAAATATTTGATAATTATCCATTCAAACGCTCCATTCTATCCTGCCATTCAACCACAGCAGGAGCTCGCAAAGCCTCATCTGAAAAGAGCAAACTGAATTACAAGTAGGGTCACTTACTGCTGTCCAAAAAGTTAGTGTGAGAAGAGTGAGACAGCTGAAAAAGCGACTTCCCAGCCTTACCTTGCTTGACTGACAACTTCATCTAAAATCAGTAGGTTCAGGCTCAAACGAGCGCTCGCCAGCTCCCACCCAATCCCCTCGCCGGCTCTAGGCGCAGCCTGCCAGTCGCCGGGAGGACCCTGTCCTCATCTGTAAACTTTATTTCCCCACCGCCAGCCCCGTCCCCCCGCACTCGGCTTCGTATTTACCGTTGCTGGGCCAAGCTAAGCCCCAGCCCGCTCCCTTCCCCCGTGCACCTCGGGAACATTATGACATTTGGCTGGTGGGCTTCGCGCGGAAAACGGACACACAGGAAGACGACACCATACAAAGGGGCGTAGGAAGAACGGGGCGGCGGGCAGCAGGGAAAGGAGGGGCTGGTACAAAGTGACACAGCAGCAAAACCGGTTCCCAGAAACCCGGGGCCGACGCGGCCGGGTTCTCGGGCCGAGCAGGGTGCGTGTCACCAGCAGCCTCGGAGCCGCCCTCTCGCCGGCCGGGAAGGGCGCGCTGCCGGCCGAGCGCCCGCCGGGCGGGTGACAGCCGCCCTCCGGGGTGCGGGCGGGAAGGGGCCGCGCCCGGGGGATCCCCCCGCCCCCTGCGGCCCGGGCTGGGGCGCGCCGGCCCCCAGCCGGCAGGTTCCCGCTCTCGGCCGCGACCCACCAGTCCCGGCCCCGGCAGGGGGAGTCCGGCGCCCGCCGCCTGCGCCACCACCCGCAGCGGGAGCCGGCGTCCCCTTCCCGCCCGCCCGCCCGCCCGCCCGCCCGCCCGCAAGGATGCCTCCACCCCGGGGACTGACACTCACCAAAGTCGGCGGCGCCGCCGCCTTCTCCTCGCGCCGCGCTCCCTGGGCTCCCAGCAGCCGCGGCGGCGGCGGCGCCTCCGAGACACAGACCCGGGTTTGTTCAAAATCACGCGCCCAGCGCCATTCCACCGCCGCATCCCATAATACGCCGGGCCCTCCCCGCCCGCGCGCCCCTCTCAGCCCGCCCCTCCACTCCGCCGGCCCCGCCCCCCGGCCGCCTTCCTTAGCCCCGCCCCTTCCTGCCTGCTCGCCCCGCCCCCTGGCAACCCAGTCGGCGTCATTCCGCAGGGCGCGGGGAGCGCGCTCCCGCCCACGTGACCCTGACCGCGCGGTGTCAGAGCAGTCGCTGGGAACGTTCCATCAGGCCGAGGCTGGAGGGGAGAGCCAGGTCGCGTCGGCTTCATCTTCTAGCTTTCCTTGTTAGGAAGTCGGTCGGTGCTGTCGTTACGATTTCCTGGGTGCTGCTGCTGTGTAATGTGCTCGCATGAGAAGGTGATCGATATTCACAAATGCCAAAGGTCGTCGGGTTGGGGGCACTAATTTTGCAGGGTCGCTGAAAAGCCCCCGTGTCAGACCACGCAGAGTTAAACTTATTTTGAAAGGGACTTTTTTGCAGTATGTAGCTAAGACTAACAGAGTCAAAACTCTTTGTATTTAGTCATCTCTTCCTTTTATTTTCTCGCTGTCCTTTATTTTAAAAACAAGAAAAAGATATATAAATATGGAGTGGGATGAACAGGTACTAAGTAATAATTCAGTTAATAACTGTTCCGTGTAAGACAAGAACTATACGAACAATAGAAAATACGAAAATTATATGCGATACAGTCTATGAATTGCTAATGGAGCATAGAGGATATACAACAACGTGAAAGACTGTAGCCAGAGAACCTAAATGGACATAGCACTTTGAGATCAGGCAGTTCCGGTTTTAAATTCTAGCACCTCTACTTATAAGTGTGTACTAATTTATCAGGTTTCTTCTCCCATCGGCAAATTAAGAAAGACAAACCTTCCTGGGATATTGAAGGTTAAATGCAGTTAGGGTATCAGGCAGCTACATAGTCCCTGCCTCAAATGCTAGTTCTGTTCTGCCATAATCAACACCACCCCATACCTCCCACCTCGAACTTGTGAAATTAATATACAGAAATCCTATTCAAGTGAGATCTGGCCGCTTTAAGAAAGTTCCCGCACTTGCTCATTCAACAAACTACAAGACCCAGCATGCCTTGCATCTCCAGTAGGAAGTAAGTTTTCTTCCCACCCCTCAACCCCAGCAGAAGGAAGGACTTGCCTTTTTGCCCCTCTAAAAGGTAGCTAAGGGGGTGCAGCCTTTTGTTCTGGGGAAGTACATATGTGTTTCAGCATGAGATTGCACTTTCTAAATTACCATTTTGCCATTTTCTGTTTTGGAACAAACCCTTTTGTTTGGTGATATAACAGGTTGCGTTTTGTTTTGTTTTGTTTTGTTTTGTTTTGTTGTCCACAAACTGAATGGTTAGTATTTAGCAAGGCCAATGAAATTAGCAAGCTCTTAAAAAATCTTAAAAGGAGGATCAGGATGTCACATTCTCACGGTATAATGATGGGTGGCAGTATAAGGCACTTTAGGAACGAAGAAGGGAATGAGATGGGGTACCTAACCCCAGCCGGATTATAGGGAAACTAGCCAATAAAAGAGAGTCATTTTCCAAAAGACTAGAATAACGCTAATACCAAAGGGGTGCTTTCTCACTATGACTTTGATACCGAACCAAAATGTGTATTAATATATCAAATCCGGTAGTATCATTATAGACTTCATACCATGACAAAAATATGGATTATTCCAAGAGTGGTGATTTACTAACATTAAGAAATCTGTGTGTGATTTATTACATTAAAGGAGAAAAGTCAAATGGGATGCATTTGGGATGCAATGTGCAATATTCAGCCATTTAATGGGGGCCTCCCCAGTGGCGCAGCGGTTGAGCATTGGGTTGTGAAGCTGGCCGCGGCCTCTACGGCGCCGGTTGGATCCCCGGCTGCTCCCCGACCACCACCACATGGTGCGCCATCCCGCATGGTGCGCAGACCTCCCCTGCCGCCTGCTGCTCCCCTCAGCAGCAGCGTACCTCGGTCTTTCTGCCTGCTCTGTTCCCCGCTCTGGCTCTGGTGAATTCTCTCACCCTCCCGCGCTTCTGACTGTACCCAGTGCATGTATAAACAAAACAAACAAACAAACAAATAAATAAAACATGCCTCTATAAAAAAACTTAAAAAAAATATTCAGCCATTTAATACATTTTATTTATTTATGCATACAAGAACAGGGGTGTAAGCTGGAAGTGTGGGAGGTGAGAGGATTCACCAGAGAATGAGTGGGGAGCAGAACAGGTGGATCAACAGAAATACACTGATGAGGGGAGCAGAGGGCAAGACAGGAGAGGTCTGCTGTGCCATCTGGGTTAGCACCCTGGCCAGGTATCGAACCCTGGCGGCAGCGGTGACAGAGTAATAGCACTGAGACTCAACACTTACACCACCAGGGAGGTCCCTTTAATAACTTTCAGTAACCTAGGTGTAAAAGAATATTTCCTTAAGTGGATCATGATAATCATCATCAGAAAAAAACAGTAACAATATACATTAGAGTGAAATGTCTAAAGCATTCACTGACAGGACACAATAAGGAAATAAGACCACAATATTTAACAAGTCTCAAGAGGCCCTAGGTAAATGCAATTAAATAAGAAAAAAGGAGATTGAAATACTGAATAGAAGCAACTTTATTCGAATAATCACAAGAGCTCAGTGTTGTGGTTATTTGTTTGGTCTTTGAAACTGGATTGCCTGGGATGAAACTCATGCTGCAGTGGCTGCTGATAGCTTCACAGAGCTGAGACTTAACCCATTGTGCCACCAGGGAGGCACAATGCAAGGCATGGTGGTTCTGCAGTTTTCTGATAACACATGTGGAAGCTTTCTCCAACCTCATATAAATAGGGTTTCTGTGGGCCTCCCTGGTGGCAGGGGTTAAAGACAGCGCTATCAAACTATCACCAGCCATTGCAGCATGAGTTCCATCCCCAGCCAGGCAGGTGACCCACATGGCGCAGCAGACCTCTCCTGTCTCACCTGCTGCTCCCCTCAGCAGTGTATTTCAGTCAGTCTGCCTGTTCTGTTCCCCACCGTCCCTGGTGAATCCTCTCACCCCCAACCCCACACCTATGGCCTGTCCCCCAGATCTTATGTGCATAAATAAATAAATAAAATTTTTTTAATTTTTTCAAAAATGTAATCTTTTATTTTTTCAAATAGTGTTTTAGCTCCTAAGAACCACTGCTATTCAAATATCTGTATTACAAAGAGACTAAATATTTTTTATTTGTATGGTTGTTATTTCTCATTAATTAGAAACATTTATTCAGCAAATATAAGCTGATCATCTGCTGGATCCCAAGTAGTATGTAAGGCACTAGAAATAAAGTGGCAAACAAGATGGAGCTGCTCTAGCTAATAGAACTTTCCCTTATAATGGTGGAACTATTCTATTTCTACACTATCCGGTACAGTAACTACTAGACATGTGGTTATCAAGCAACTGAATGTAATGAGTGTGGCTAAAGAACAGACTTTTTTTTTTTTTTCATTTTTTGTCATTAATTTAAATTTCAATAGCCATGTGGACAACACAGTTCTAGAGTAAGCAACAGACTAGAAGCAAGTTGGGAAAATGACAGCTTTTTAAATAAATAAAGGGGATTTTGAGGAATATATGAATACAAGAAAATGAGAGGACACTGGAGAAAATGAGAGGCATGAATTGAGTAGAACTATCAACAGACAAATATAACAGGTTTCTGGGTACCTATTTCGTGCCAGGTATACTGCTAAATACAAAGTATAGAATATAGTTAATAAAATTTTCTTAAAATAGGTT